ATGTCTCTTGGCACAAGCCAGCAGAAGCCAGTGGAGACAAAGGAACTGCTGTGTTTTTCCCAAGAGAGAGTACCTCCAGAGACTTCACCACTGCAGCCCAACAGGGAAGGAGGGTAGCAGTCATGGAAGCTCTGCTGCTGTGCCTGGGAGAGCCACGTGCAGACTTAGATTAAAATTAGATAAAAATAAATAAGCGTGAAAACAGAAATCCCTTACACTTGTAGCTCCAGGACAGCGACTCACACAGCAGCACTGAGCAGGAACTAGATCCTGTGTTATTACACTCATTATGGAGAAAGGCACATGGCTGTGCAACACAACATCGTGGTAGCCTCATAATAAAGACCCCTCCACGTTAATCTGTCATTCCTGAGTGGCACCGCTACTCCTGCGGCTACACAAACCCTTGCACAACCCCACACCGGGCTAAGGCTCCACCGTGCTTGTGGGGGGGACACACAGAGTGGTGCTCCCCTGCCAGCTGCCCACAGACCCCCTTCTCCCAGCCCCAGAGGACTGGTGGGGTTTTGGGGCTGTTTCACACTCTGTTCAGGAGCTTTAGCTTTATCAAAAGGCCTCGCAGGAAAATTTGAGTAGCAAATCACACATAATAGCAACATGCATAAAGGCAACGATTCTTCTATTTACAGTCAATCATATGTAATGCCTTACAGCAAAACACAGCAAGGAGTGTCAAGAAGGTGGAGGTGGGTCTTGCAGTGAATTGGAGAGGAGCAGATGGAGCTGCAATGGCTTACAAGGAAACCAGGATCGCTAAATTGCACAAGGCTAAGGTTGGCAAAGTCATTATAAATCCAAAAACAAGCTCCATGTGCCCCACTGCAGCACCTTTCCCTGTTTTATGAAGTGGACTGAAAATTGTTTCTGTGTCAAAACATTCACAGAAGTGAAACATTTATTAGTGCAGCTGCCACATTAGAAGAAGCTGACAGTACTATCTATAGCAGCAATAAATGTGAAAAAAGAGCCTGACATTTAACAGGAGGCTAGTACTAAAGACATTTCCAGGAGTCTTTAGTATAGCTGAGACTGAATGTTAATTTCCATAATGCTGTGTTGTTGTCATTAACGAACGTGCTAATGATGTCTTAATTCTTCATTTAGACTGATAATTGCCAATTAGTACAGTTGGGAATAGAGAACAACTGATTTATACCACCTCCAGTCTGGCCTGTGGTTCTGAAGGTTGCACCTGGGATGAACGTTCCTGTTCTGGACAGATGCATAAACCCAAAAACAATTGTTCCAAGACCCCCTCTTCCTATAGATCACAAATTAAGCTGTGAGGCAGGGATAAGAGAAGGCCTGGAAGGCAGTGGGTATGGCAGATCTCCCCTTATAAAATCTGATACCCATTTTCCACTGTTCATTTAAAACAGTAGAAGGCAGAAGAGCTCTTTCCAGGACAGGAGTATGACAAAAGTTTAAATGAATATATATAGCTGCTGCATCCATCACACAGCAGCAAAAGGTGTGTATATATGTACACATACATTTATGTATGTACAAAATTCCTTTACAAAACAAATTCCTTAGGGCAACAGTTTTCAATCAATGGTCCCCGATTCCTAAAGGTGAAATTGGATTACTTTAAAGGGTCCATAAACATATTCAAGCAAAACATCCTTCTGGCCAGTAGGCTCAAATTAGATTGATGTCTCTGTTAAAAAATTATTCTAGGCCTAAAAAACAAATGGCTGAAAGCCCACTGTTTTAAGAAATTCCAGTCACGATAAGCTCTAATCTTCAGTTAATTCCAAAGGACTCTATTATACTGAACTCTGGCAAATGGCATTTATCTCTGCTCCCTTTTAACTAAGGCTGTGTATATCAAAATAGACTTATTAATACCATGACCTCTGGACATTATACTAAATAAGAACATTGGAAGTTGCCCTTTTGGCTGGCTGGCTGCTTTTGCTGTTGCATTTTAATACAGTTTCTTGTGTTTTGCTTGAAATGGAATTTGGAGGCTATATTGCCAGTCATGCCTGCACAAACAGTACTGAGACCAAATACAATGTGCTCTAGCCAAGCATAAATCACTTCAGTATATCTTTTAGCTGTAATCTAAATTAATTATTTGAAAAATCAATTTATGGCTGTTTTATGGTGCTTTCAGGTAAACAAATACCCAAGAGCTACAAATATGCATCCTGCTAGCTGTGGAAAGTACATACTTCTTGGAAGTAACATTGCTATTCCTCCCTTCCTGGCACAGACAGAAACGGATTTGAAAAAACATCATTTAATAAATAATTACTGTTTTCCCCTTCTCAGTTAGAATTTGGCTACACAAACCTTCGCATGGTCACAGGTCAAAAAATGTCCACCTGGGAAGCATGGAAAGAGTATGGAGAGAGGACTTGTGAGCATAAAGAGGAAAGAATCACCCAGAGCACTTTCTACTTCTATCCCATCCGTGGCTGACCTGTCTGGCTGTTCATTCCTCCTCTCCCTCTCAGCTGCCCAGGCCTGAGGGGTGAAGGAGTGAGAGTAAGTAGCTGCGGGTATGCAGGAACATCTGCAATAGCAACGTACACTGCTTACTGTTTGCTGTGCTGTAAGTTTTCATCAGGGCTTTGAGAAGAAGGCACTGCTTCTACCACTGTTTTGCTCTCTTGAAAAATATTAGTGAAAATATTAGTGTTTAAAAATGGTATAGAGGCTTTTGTTCAAAGTTCTCGAGATGCTTTCTGGCAATGCAAACAAACTGCTGAAAAGGGACTCCCCCCCCCGCCCCTCAGGCCAGGGCACTGCCATCAGCTGAATGCACGTGCATAGGTCTGCACCGCTCACCCCCACCAGCCAGCCCATCGGTAGCCAGGCACAAATCCCTGCGCTGACAAGCCAGGCACAACCTCCTGGGGTGGGGGGGGACAAGGCTTCCCAAGCTGACACCCAGCCGCGGGAGTGCCAGCTTGTTCTCGACACCAACCCAGGGGCTCTGAATGGGAACTCAGCACAAAACAGGTATGGTGAGGAATTAAAACATAATTTCCATCCTGCACTCGCTTCCTACATAGGTGTTAACCCCACTCACTGCTTTTATACAGCTTAGGCTAATCCACTCTGGTAATACCAGTTCAGCAATTACAATTACCCAAACTGCATAAGGGATTCTTAGCTCAGAATAAACAAGTTTATGCAGGGGGTTACTGCAGAAAAAAAAAAATCCAGCACTAGCTATTTGGGATTCACCTCCTAATATAAACATACCTTAAGGCTGAGAAAGAACAGTATTTGTGGGTTTTGAACACTGCAGAAGCTTTTGCGTTTTCTCTGATACTTGCAGACTTGTTTCCTTAATGATGCCAGTGCTAGAACACATAATGCATGGATGTCAGTTATGTGCCCCTTCTCAATATATGCTACAGCCACTCCTTACCTCCCCCAGTATTTCTATATGCTGCTATGACATCCTAAAAAAATGTGGTAAGTTCAGATGGGGGTTGGACTAGACAACCTCTAGGGGTCCCTTCCAACCCAAAGCATTCTATGATAAAGGTTGTCAGGTCCTGGGACTCATCCTTCTGCTATCCAGTTCTTCTCTTCAGACTCCAGCTCCTAGAGTAAAGTGATACATGACATTTCAGCTTTCACAGAAAGAAGGGAATAGTTACTGGTCCTAGCTCAAAAAGAGAAAACAATCCTGAACTTAAAATATATTTCTATTTAGAAAAAGTTTCATGATTCATATTGCATTTTATTCCTTTTTTGACTTCTGACTCATTATTTTTGACCGATTAAGGATGAGAATATTGTCTGTATACAACACCTTTTCCCTTTAAAAGCTGTGAAGAACTTGCAATTCAGACTTCAAACTCTGCTGGGAAAACCCACCATCTTCCAAGGACGTACTGTGTGCTATGTATAGCTGGTACTCAGTAAAAACTACTAATCTCTCAATTCTGCCTTCATAATTGTATCCTATTGGTGTAAGAAAGAGAACCTCTTTCCTGGTGCTTGTATTTTAGCATGAAGAACAGGCACTCTTCACTGTTCTGCATAATTTAAAAATCAAAGTACAATGTTTCATTTACACTAACACAACAAAATAACATTCAGCAAAGAATTTCTCCAGGTCCTTTTCTAATGGCTGTATTTCTTGGCCTGTCCATCCTCATTACATGACATTTGTCCATGACAAAGCATGAGTAAAGGGTCTACAGTCACCAAAACCTGCATTCACACATGAAGTCTGTGACATGGACAAATTTGGACAAATGTTGGATAATCTATTTGGCCCTTTTCTTTTTGGTGCCTGTGATTCTGTCTGCCTGGCACATAAAACTGGCTATAAGGGACTGTCTTCTGTTGAAACTCAAGAATTAGAGATTTTCCATATCTAATGTCCACAATTCTAAAGAGCTCCTAAATATTAGGAAAACAAGTGACCAACCATAAGCATGAATCAGACTTCTAAACAGTCACCGCAGAATAAAAGTCATTCAAAAAAAATTCAAGCTAAAGAGGCAAACTTTCCTGGCACATAAAGGCCCATGTAGAAATGAGATAACCATGCCCCATTGCCTGGCTGCGTTAGGCTCTCAGGCGACAGTGACAAAGCTCCTGGGGATGATACATGGTTAGAAGCTATTCCTTAAGATCTTTTCCTGTATGTTTAGATTTTCTTTATTATCTATCTCAAATTCAGGGAGATTACAAAATCACCAACCAATCACTCCACAGTAAAGGCCAAGGCAAACAGCCTCCATCAATCATTCCTTAGAAAATATAAGGGAAAAGCAATGACAGAATGAGGGACAAGAAAGAAGCTGCCTCATACTATTTGGCTGGACAGGATGCCCGCACTACTTCGAAATCCCATCCCATCCATAGAGACAAGGTTGCAATCAAAACTCAAGAGAGGAACTGACACATGGAAAGTTCAAGAGAGAAGACGAACAACCATATGAAAACTCTTAGATTCACAGATTGGCCATAATCAAGTTAAGATCTGCCTTCATTCAGTACCACCTATTGAATCACTATACCCAGCAGGCAAATTTAAAGCATCAAGACAGGCTGCATAGTAACCAGTGTGTTAAATACAACTCTGCCTCTTCTTAGCTGAGTGCATATATATTGCATAGACATACAGACCCACAGCCACTTTTTTCCTTAGGCTTTGTTCCAGTTGCTCCCTTTCCAAAACTAGTTCTTAGAAGCACTGGTCCCACTGTGCTCCTGTGCACCCAATGCAAAGTCCACAGCCTGGTGCACACTGTGGAAGAGAAGGTGGTCCTCCCCCTCTCTAAAGAATTCCCCTCGGATCAGGGAACTCCTGACCGAAGGATTGCACTGGGCCAGTAGCACCTGGACATTTATCTCCCTGTAGTCCTTGCAGACCTCTTTGAGCGTGCGTATTCCTGCCGTGTCCAGAAACTGTACTGCACAACAGTCAATCACTATTGTGTGAAACCCCAGAGGTTCAGAGACAAAATCCATGGAGATGCTGGTCTGGTTGCCATCAGAATCCACCTCTTTCTCTCTAAGCATTCTTTTTGCTGCCTTTTTCTTTGCTGCCTTCACCCAGACTGGGTTGACCCCAGTTTGCTTGTACAGGGTAGATTTAAAGCACTCCTTGTTGATGTAGTAGAGGGGTGCTTCAAAACGGAACACCACAATTCCTGGCTTGGTTTGCAAGTTCTTGTAAGCAGACAGGGATTCATATGTTTCAGACTCTGCCACCCAGCCAAGCAGTGGTGCCTCTGGTCTCTGAGTTCGGAAGATGACACAGAGCATAGAGAAGCAAACACCAACCAAAAGACCAATCTCAGTACTGATGAGTGCTGAGGCTGCCATAGTAACTAGCCAGATCACTGTGTCCACTCTGCTCAAATGCCACATTTTTGGCAGGTCCTTGAACTTCCGCAGGGCTCCTCTGAGGTTTACAATGGTTATGACAGCAAGGACACATTTCTGAAGGGAATAAAATAAAGGTGCAATCACAAGGAGGACTAATAGGATTACTAAACTAGTCACCATGCCAGACATTTGTGTCCTACAGCCTGTGGACTCTTTGACAAGAGTCTTGGCAAGAGCAGCACTTGTTGTGAAGCAATGGAAGAAAGAGGGAATGATGTTGCAGAAGCCAATAGCATACATTTCCTGGTTGGCTCTCACAGAGTAACCATGCTTCTTGGCAAACATCTCTGAGAGGGAAACAGTGATGGCAAAGCCAATAATAGCTATGGGGATAGCATCCAAAGCCACATTAGGAATCAGGTTCCAGTCTGGAGGGCGGGGTGGCAGAAACCCAGTTGGGATGTGTCCAGCAACGCTTGAGCCGTAAGTCTCTTTCAGCTTCCCAAAGTGAGATGCCACAGTAGCTACCACAATCACGACTAGTTCAACTGGTATTGGAGCCTTGAGCTTGGATTTAAAATGTTCATTAAGCTCTTTGGTTGGGATAAGTAAAAGAAAGCACAATAAGCTGGTGATGACATCACAGATGTTGGTCTTATGTATGTTTCTGAAGATGTTTATCCATGTGGCTATGAGAGAGCCGATGCCACTGCTCCGTGGAATGTCTAGGCCCAGGAGATACTTGGCTTGTGAGGTCAGGATTGTAAAAGAGGCACCCGTGACAAATCCACTCAGCAATGAATCGGAGAGGTACACTGAGACAAAGCCCACTTGAAAGAAACCCATGGCCACCTGGAAGGAATCAACCACACACAGATTAGGACACAAATCTTGCAAATGTCATAGCTGTGGGACTCTGGAGGGAGGTGAGATTAAAAAAAAAAAACAAAAAAACCCCACCATGCATGGCCCTGGAAGACAAGGCATGGTCTGAGCATGGAGAAAACAGTCTCCAGCATTCAGGTGCCCCTGGTACCCCACACTTAAATGAAATGCATTTGTAACACAGAGCAGGTTTTTTTGGGGTCTTCATGCTCTGAACCTGTGTTTGTTGTTTGCTCATTGGTTCAGTTGTAACTCCCAGTTCCCCTAGCAGGCAAAGAAACCTAGGGAAAAAAAGCATTTGAAATACTGGCTACTTTTTGCCATTTCTCTCTCATGTTCTTACAATCTCTGTGAACTTTGCAGGGACCCAAAGCCTTTTTGGTTGTCTTTGTCTGTCTTACATTTGAGCTCACAATCTGCAATGAAAATACAGCTTATGGCATAACAGCTATAGCACCGTGTAAAGTTTAGTGCATCTGATTCAGAATGTATATGACCTGCAAACTCTTGTGATGCAGACTGTATAAGTAGAGATAAATTTTTGAACTGCCTTATCATTCATTTTTATCAATGTCACAAATTATTATTGGACAAATACTTGGTGCTCTACTCCTGGGAAGTACCTACATGCATACCTACCCTACACATGCATCTTCACACCTGGTAAGTGTCCCTTTCTCCCCATCAACCTTCATGCCAAATGGAGCATGGACCTTCTCACAGCAGTTTGCTAGAAACCTTTTAATCCCCCAAGCTGGACAACAGGGCTGTATACACTGTTATCTGAAGACTGCATGGCAGAACTTAGAGAGATAGTTAGACGCAGGTCCTTACAGCCCCCAACAGCATAGCAATAGAAGCACAAAAGGCTATTAAAAAAAAAAAAAAAAAAGGAGAGGACACAGAGGAGTTTCTTGCACCACAGTAACTGGAGAACTCCAGTCCTCCCTGTGTCTGCTCCCCTGGGATGCGGACTGAGGACACATGCAAGTCTAGCAGCCTATTCATGTGGACAATCACCTAAAGAATTAAAACTATTTGCACAGAATACCTGTTTGTCCACCTCCTCTTACCTGATAAACTCCAGCTATGAAGGTCATGGTGGCTCCCACTGTAATTGCATAGCAGCTTTTATCACAGAGCAACTTCTGCAATGTCTGATTCACAGGCGAAATGGTGGTGTTTACATATGCTGCTGTATCTGGGAGGCCACTGAGCACGGCTGGCTCTAAGTCATAGCCAGCTCTCTGTATTTCACGATCCACCACTTGTCCCACCATAAGGCAAATCACACCAAAGATACCAACTGAGATGTGGCGGGAGGTTCCAAATATGAAATAAATAATGCTAGCAAAAAAGGATGTATAAAGGCCATAAATAGGCTCCTGCCCAGCTAAGAGAGAATAGGCAATTGACTGTGGGACTAGTAAGACCCCCACAATCACACCAGACATTATGTCTCCCAGTAGGTACTCTCTTAGTTTATATTTTGGAAGCCACTGCAAGACAGGAAAGAAACTAAAAATATATTCTTTAACTTTGGCTGGAGTGCAACTGCAAGTTTTCTTTGCTTGCTTAACCACCAGAGCCTTCATGCTCCTCTTCTTCTCTTGGGGTTCCAAGAACATTCTGTTATGGAAACTGCGTTTAGCATCATCTCCTTCTGGTGTTTCAGTCACTGAATGGACGTTGTTGAATTCTGCCATTGCTGCCATCTTGAGGACTCCCTAAAAAACACAAAGAAGGAACATTTTCATTAAAACATAAATGAATGTGCTACATGAGACTTTTTAATGGAGTGAATACAGTATTTATTAAAAGCAAGGGCTAAAAGTCTTAATTAAGCACAGAGAAAGCAATTTCCAAGCAAACTTGGAAAGAGCCTCTCCATTATATCCCTGGGAAGCTGATATCCTGTAGAATAAACCCATTGCTGGCAATGTTGTGAAATGGAAAAGAATGCAGCAGCACTGTCTCTCTGGGAGGCTTCCTTGATAAAAATCACTATCTGCAGCCTGTTCCTCTGTATGAAGAGAGACATAGGGTTTATTGTAGGCCAACAGTCACTTCAATACAGTTACTGAAAATTAACTATAATTAGTATAACTCTTAACATTGCACAACTTGGTCTAAATCTCATTTAGATATCAATTTATTTTTTTTTTTAAATGCAGCGCTTACACCTGCCAAATACCATAACGATTTTTTTACCTAAGAAAACACAATCTTTACACAGTGGCTTTATTTCAGCCAATCACACATTGCAAGGAATGCTCTTCACACTTCTAAAAAGCTGGTTTTCAAGTAAATTACATCTGACCAAAACAATACACACAAGCGGAAAACACACTAACGGACACAAAACTTCTGCCAGAACACTTGAACTAGTGCAGGCTGCCTACAAACAGTAAACCAAGGTGACTGTATCAAAGCGCATTTAATACTGGAAAAATAATGCCTGAATGTGAAAGAGCAAAGTCTTGCTGAGACAAGCCCTGATGAAACCCGGCAATACCAACAGTGATTGCTGGCTTTCATACAGCACTCCCACTTTCCAGAAAACACCCGGAATCCTCCAGAAAACTCTTAGCCACGATACCTGCTATTACTGGCATGCTGAAGTTGTTAAATGTCAGCCAGAAACCCACTTGCCTGGTGCTACAGTGGAGTCAAAGCCAGATACAGAAGCAAAAACCTGAAAAATCTAACTCCCAGGCCTCCCTTCTGGACACTGACTTGAAGCCCTGGTGTGCTAATAACACCCTCTCCACACAGTGCAAACATCAACCAAACTAACATTCTGTGCAATGTTTATGACTGAATTAATTACTAAATTGGTATTGGACCTAGCCATGCTGAGTATGCCACTGAAGAGTTAATCTTAAGATTTGTTCACTTAATCAACATTTCACAAGTAGCTATAAAACATTCACAGCTACCATCACTTCAGTGTGAGTCTCAAAAACACGTGAGGGGAGAAGTGAGAAAAGTGAGTTTAAGTGTTTAAGTTTAAACTACTCGTTTCCCATTTAATGTTTGCCCATTACAAGGCACTGATCCTAGAGCTAGGAGAGAGGAAATGCCTTTTAGACCTCAGTCCAGCTGGCTGGAGTGTATAACTTCCATTCTTCCATTCCAGGTTTGACGCTGCTACACAGAGGTATCTGAAGTGCTGTGCATCAGCCCTACGTAACGGTTTACACACAGCCGTGGCTCCAGCAGTCTGCTAGCTCAGACAGATCAACTGCCTTCAGTTCTTCTAGCTAGCAAGACAGTACCAATCCAAGTACCTACTGTCTTGAAACAGCCTAAGCACATTAACCACGTCAAAGGAACCCACACGAGAGTAGAGGCAGCTGCAATATTTAACATTTAGACTGGCTTCTCCTTCCAGATTAAAATATTCAGTGACTTCTAGAGCAGCCTTCCAATCAGAAAGCAATTCAACCTGAGTAATCCAACCCTTCCACCTTACACTGTAGCATTCTTCTCCCTAGAGCTACCAGGCTACAGCGTGCAGAGGGCTATCTAAAGTCAACACACAGGACAGATGCCGACAGATAGCCAACAGAAAATAGCAGAGATGGGGGTTCATGTTTTTATCTTCTGCTCCACACCAGGACTCCCAAAAGGTGTTTTCATTCACTACAGACCCAGAAATAGCAAGTGTCTCTGGTGGGTAAGCTCCTGCATCCTTTCAAATAGCCAAACACAGCTGACTTTTTGCTAGCCTGCCGCTGAAAGGGAGCCATGTTTCAAACAGAGACCTCCCTGGCTCCAAAACCGTGAGCAGCACAACAGCATGAGCAGGGATGGATTTTCTGCACAAGGTGGGGTATGTACACCTTCCTGTTATCGTGACCTGCAACAACTCATGCTCTGTTACATGTCAGGGCAGACTGAACAGCATTGCCAGGTCTCATGCTCTGTGCGAGATCCTTCATTAATACCTATCTCTCGTTCTCCACACCTATTTCTAGCAAGACATCAATGCTTTTCTCCAGCTCCTGCCATGTTCCATGCTCCCCATGCCTCCAACTCCATGCCTAATTCCCCTGAACCACATATGGGGTCTGCAAGGTGGTCTGCAAACCAGAAAGATGAAAACAGCTGGGGAGAGAACATGCTTCTCTGTGGCTGCCGTTCTGAGCACAGGCAGAGGAGCTGGTTAGGGAAAGTCACACTCCAAAAACAGGAAAAATGAAGTTTTGTACTACTGGGTTAGGGGAGACCTAAGTGGAAAATTCCCACAGTTTGAACTCAAGTCCCATTTCTGGTACCTATGTCTTTCTTTTGGTCCTGGTCCTTATAATTGTAGAACTGAGAGTTCTGTGTCCAAAGATCTGTCCAACCAGAACTTTAATACATATATATTTTTAGGGGTAAATTTTCCAATGTATTTATTTGTCTCCATATTTGCTCTTGTTATACAAGTCAACCACTTCCAACACTGGAAGGAAAGAGAAGAAAGCTTCAGTTTTGCCTACCTGCCTTCTTGATTATTCCAAACTTCTATCTTACAGCCTCCTGGCCATGCATAATTACCATATCACATACCTATATACACCCTATAATGACGACCTTCCCTTGGCTAATGTCTTACAGTTCAGTATCTTTGTTGCATTTTAGAATAATTATAGGCTCAGAAGAGTTGTATGAAGGATTAGGATCTTTACAGTGAGGAAATGTGCACTGCAAGAAGTAACATACTCGAGATCACATAGTGATCACACTTGGATGAGAACCCATCCCTACCCTCCAGATATCTAATCTCACCCACTCATACAGTATTGCGAAGTCCGCTCAGAGATTATTTATAGCACTTACAAAAAAAGCAAATACTATAGAGTCAGAATGAAGTGAACATAACATACAAAAGCATATTTCTACAGTAGTCTTCACAAGCACATTCTGTAGCTATATTTACTCAAGCAGTTTTATTCATTTCACAAGGATAGAGTTGCAAATCAAAGTGCTTTTCACCCAAAGCTCAGCAAATCAATACTGTAAAAGCTGGGGGAAAAGATTCACCCCCAGACTACTTTCTATGTGCAGCAGATTACTTGAATGAATTTGTTTTCTGAGATTTTAGTAAAGATTTTAGTAATGAAAATCCTTCTGATTATCCTCTCCCTCATCCAGTACTTGTAGAGAGCTCACTCAAACCTGGGAGTTTTTCTTAACATGCCAGGGGAGTCCAAAACAAAACCTAGACAGTTCAGTTTAGTTCTGCACAGTGCCATAAAACATCTGCACAGTAGATGATACCCAAGTTTTTTAGTCATGTCTAAACAGTAGAGAAATGTTCTAAGTCAGTCTTTTTGGCTACCGAACTCTGGGCATACACTGGATCTTTGTGTTGACCTGCATGACAGCTTTCTCTACGTGGCATGAAAAGGGCCTTTCATCACACAGTCACTGCCTCTCGCGATGCCAGGACATGAGGAAATGACACAATTTCCAACACTCGTTTCACCCTTTTCTGCCTGAAAGTGTTCCTCTGTATTATTTTTGTAGTAAAACTGGATTTTGTTCTTAAAAAAAAAAAAACCAACACCCCACCCACTCCCCCCAAAATAAAACCCCAACCCATGCTTTGGTTCAATATTATGAAAGATATTCTGTATCTTTAACTTGGAAAGGGAATCACTGTGCTTTTTGTTTTGAAAGCTGCTATTTACGTACAACTTAATTTGTATGCCTCAAATTCACTTTTATCAATTCCTTTTGGCCTGAATAAGATATTCAGGGGGTGTCTGACTGCCACAAAGCTTTACTTAAGACACAAAGAACAAAATTACAACACAGAACTGAGGACATTTCCAGTATCTTGCCGTTATCAAGCGACCGCCATAAAATAAAGATATGGGGAGGTATTGCATTCTTGAGATCCGATTACTTTTACAGACTGTTTCTGGATCCCGTCTGAGCCTTTCTTACTGATCCCGTGACGTGGCAGAGGTGAGCTGGCATCTGCCTACCATCTGTCTTTGGAGAAACACTACCTGCAGCACAGGGTCTTGCTGGCTCAGACTTCATTTCTCTGTCACAGATCAGAGTCTTGTGATCACATACTGATCTCTTGACAGTAAGAGAATAATGGATTGTGAAGCTCACTCACCTGCCAAAATAACACATTCAATTTCACGTGCATGAGCCATCACTGTATGCAATCACTACCCACCCTCATGTACCCACTTGCTAGACACGAGAAGTTGCATGCACTTAAAAACTAATGCATAAACATAATCTAAAGAGACACGAACAATTTTTGAAGAGATCTAAAGGAAAAGGAGGTGAATCAGAAATCCAAGTTCCTCATGAACCGGAGTTGGGTTACTACCTCTGGGTCCTTGGAAAATCTCACCCTGAGAGTATAAAAGGAAAGCATATCACAACCTTTTGATAACTAAATCTTTGTCCTTACTCTTGTTGGACAACAGCCTTTTCCAAATAATCTCTTAACGGCTGTAGAGCAACAAGGAAATTCAATATTGCCATGATAACAGAGATAGGGACTGGAATAGCATTGCATGTTCCTTAGAAGAAAGCTCAAATTTTTGACAAAATACCTAACATCCTCCAACAAGACATTCAATCTATAAACATTTATTTCAACAAGAGACTTAAAAAAAAAAAAATCACACGAAAACTGAATTCTTTCTGAGAACTGTAAAACAACATACGACATTTACCATGTTTAAGCAACACACGTGGGAACAGAACCACCTTACGGCCAGCACAATAATCAACAGCCATTAACTCAAGTGGGACAACCTGCAAAACCGGACAATAAAACCTCGCTTGTGTGAAATATTCAATCTCTTCCTCCTTCAAATGTTAGCTCTCCAGAGCGGCAAGCTGCCCACTGGCTTCGCACAGCCCCCAGCCTCTTTGGGAAGGGTCCCACAGAAGCCAGCAGGCCCGCTCGCAGCCAGCCCTTCCAGGCGAGTTGGCTCACCTCCAAGAACGCAGCTGTACATGGAGTGTGAGGGTTACACCGCCCTGCCCTGCCTGAAGCGGATCCCTCCTGAAGGCAGCCGGCCGTGGCCTCACACAGTACGCCAGCAGTTGCTATCCGAACTGGATTTGTTACCAAGTCTGTTTTAGCCACAGAGCTCGCCAAGTAGTATTTTCAGGAAGTCATTTCTATGCTAGGACCCTCCTCCCGCCCTTAGCGTTACCTAGCACAGGTAAAACACTGGAGAGCTGCGTTTGGGCAGCGAGGAGGACGCGCGGCCCCAAAGGCATCGCTGGGGCAGCGGCTGCCGGCCTGCCCTGGGCTGTGCAAGAGAGCGGGCCGGCCCTGCCGGACAGACAGGCACGGGGCTGCACGGGGCAAGGGAGCACTGAAAAAAACGGGGGGTTAATAAATTAAACTCTGGAAGAAGAACATACTGCAAGAAGAAATTCACGCACTTTTTATACCCCTGAAACTGCAGGTTTTTTTTCTGAGCGCCTGTATATGGCTTTGGAAGCCAACCAACACTTGAGCCTCCGGGACAGCCAGAGGGCAGCTGTAACGTTTTCAGGACAACGCTCTCCTTCATCCTCTCCCCTCTGCACCGCTCCGCTCACGCCCACCCCTCCGGCGGGCCCTCGCCCGCGCCTCAGCAGGG